GAAGATGTAAATTCCATAGCAAAATATGGGTGAGTTAGAAAGAGGGAATTATAAGTGACTCCATCTGGAAATATATATTTAGGGAGCCACTGTGAAGATTTTTTTTTAATTTTCCACAAATATTGATTATGTTGATAATAAAAAACATAACACTATGCAACATGACTTAATACTGTTTCTAAACAAGGTATAAATTCTTTCTACATAAGATAAATTGCAATTGCATGTATTTTCAGCTTTGCGGGGTCTACAATCTCTTTGAACTCACCTACTGGATTCTGGCTTTGTAGCGCACAAACAGCTATTGACAAAAATAGCAAGTATTCTCTTCCTTTCAAGAAATATCCACTTATCTGTCTGAATTCAACTGATCAAATGTAAGTTCCTAAACATACCAATATATGATATGAATGCTATGTAAGAGAGTAGTTCCAGCAATTTCTAGTAAAGTCTAAGTGTGCATGGTTGCTAAGGAAAGTGAAAGTCCCCAATTTTCTCTGCTTGACAGAGAAGGTTAGGGACAGGTAACAACGTTTCCTATGTTTAATGACAACTATTTTTCCTGCAAATGCAGTTTTTTTTTTTTTTTGTTTTTATCAGTTACCCCTTTACTGCTTACCTCACTGCCATGGATGCTATCATAGTTCCCACTTTAAATATCAGAAAGCTAAAGTTTAGACACCTTGATGACTTGCTCAAGGCCACAGAGTGAGCAAGCACAGTCAATGTGGTTGAACTGAGGTAGCCAAACCCACAATCTGTAATTTGCAGTGACTACACATTATTGCCTATCCATTTTCTGCCCAGACCATGAATATGCATGGTGTTAGACCAATTATAACCTTCCAGTTTGTAGAAACACAGATGTGTTAGCTTGCATTGGTTAATGGTACTGAAACTACAGAAAACAGGAGAACTTGGAGAAAAGTCTCAGCACTGCATGGTGTGTCTGGGTATGTCTGGAATACTCCCGCAATAATACCTTAGCTATAAGTGTCCTTCCACCGGACAGTACTCCTTCCCCTGTGCTTACCTATTATGGCAAGAAAATGTATCATTTCTAATTGTCCTCAAGGAAGTCACCTTTATTGTTTCTTTCCTACACATCCTGTGACTATACCTTACGCCTGGTTAGCAATGACCATCTCTACACTTCTCAGCTTCTGCTCCTGCCCACCAATGCTGATTATCCACATACATTTCATATTCAATATAATTTGGTCTGATATTTATTTAAAATAGAGTATCACCTGTTAGTATGATTCTTTTGTAAAACCATGTGATCCCTAGTAACCACTTAATAGATAGATGTCTTAAATCTGGGCACACAATCACCTCGGGTCAGATCTGCTATGGACATAACCTAGAGATATGGCCATATACTTTGGGTGGGGAAATCTATGCATTGTAGACAGTCAGTATAACAAGCTCCTTTGCTATACTGTCTTTTATAGGTCATGCTCATTATCAATAAAAAAAGAGTGCATAGATAGTCTTGTTCTATTATTGTTATATAAAACTCAGAGAAATCAATTGTTTACTATAAAAAGTAGAGTATGAAAAGTAAGTTGATGGGTTGTTGGAAATTTTCACAAATATTTCTTGGTCATGAGTTTTAATATTATTGGATCCATTACATACAGTCTCTATCTTACTACTATCCATTTAAGTGTTGATCACAATAAATGATTCTACTTTATAACTATGCAGTCTAACTAACTTCTAGTGATCTCAGCATATCCGTGGATGTGACAGCTAGTCATATTAGATTTTAGGTCAACATTAATTTCATAACATCTCTACCTTTTAGACTGGGTCAAATTTCCATTTGATAATCTTGACACAATATCAACATTATAAACTATAGCAAATCTCTCCTGAGATGTTTATTTCATCATTGAGATGTTTATATAAAGTCAATAACAATAGACTCCGGCACATTTACTTTTTGTTTAGTTTACTTCCGAACATTCAATTTCGCCTCTTTAGTTTCTTTATTTGTTCTAATTATTGTGAATGTCTTTTGCCACTAACATGAATTCCAGCATTTTCCTTTCAAGCTCATTTCAATGAAAGTGGCAATCATCTCTCTACTTTTTATTTGATTTTATGCTGAGAGTGTGTCAACCTCTCTTGGAAAAATGTATATTATTACAGATACTAAATTTCAGTACTGATTATCCACATAGGAGAGTGCTTTTTTCTGTCAGTTGTAATCAGAGTCATCCTGATATAGAGACTTCAGCATTAAACTCTCCCAGAACCAAAAAGAGCAAAATACATCCTTCTCTGAAACATGGGCAGCTATGGAATTTACAAAATCATTTAATTTACATAAGTCAGAATTAAACTATTCTGGGGTAACATCACTGAGCTCTTATATCTTAAACTAATCATGGATATCACTTCAAATATTGGAATAAGTCCCCATATACAAGGGAATGAAAAAAGCATAGCTGGAGGAATAAAAGCTTTAAATCCCATCTGATCTGAGTTTGAATCACAGAGCCACTAAACATGTATGTGCTTGGTTAAGGTACACCTTCTTTCCCAGTCTTCGTTTACTCAATGAGACAAATTGAGCATACAACCTTATGTTATCATTTTGACTGATGACAATCGAGCATTAAAAACAAAGTATATGTCCCAACTGTCTGCAATTTAGGATGAGAGATAAAGCCTCTCTCCACTGTCTCTTATTAAAAATTCCACATACCAAAGTATATCACTCTTAAAGTAAGTTTTATAAAGTTTAAAAGATTTTTAGTTTAACTTTGCAAACTTAAAGAAGTTATTCTGTAAGATTCATTCTGGTCTCACAAATGGAATACATTACCATCAAACAAAACAATGTATTCAGGATGGAACCTATAGGGGGTACCTGGGGAAATATATATTAAGTGGGGGGTGGTAGAAGAAATTCTAATTGAGGAAGCATATGTTACTTAAATTAGTATCTCCTAAAATAGAATTAGGTCCAAGATTTTATCCATTCATTTTCAACTTGAGTAATACAAACTATCACCACAATGATAAAATCCTGGAAAATACTTTAGGTATACACATCTTTTTGAGTAAGAACCACAATTGCCTTCATTTAAAAACAGATTTCATTGTACAATAAACATATCCTTGATGATCATTTAAATCCTGTAAATACATTAAATAAAGGGTGTTTGGGTAAGAGGCTATCATTAAATTTTAACTTTACTTTAGAAATAATATTAAACACAGAGGCATTTTCAGCAATGTACAAGTATGTTCCTAGTGAACATGGCCCTGGTTAACATTGCCTGTTTCTGTTTAGTAAAGTTGAAGGAAGAAGATAGAAGAAGGAAGAAGCCAAAGAATTCATAACAGTAACTGTAGTCAAAATGATCTTCCGCTTGGTTATTTTTTTATCACTTAAGAAATCAACTACTAGAGAAAACAAAAATAGGCATCTCAGGACAAAGAGACAGTTAAAAGTCTTCAGGCTTTGGCTAAAATCACATAGACAACCAATAAGTCCAAATCGGCGCTTAGGGGTACCCTAAAAATAAAACACTTTGTTCCTGTAGGATAATCAGCAACATCAACACCAGCTAAAGGCGCTCCAAAGACACTTCAGAAGTATAATTTATAGAAACAGGGTTCTGACAACTTTATAAAATACCCCATCTCAGGGTAATCACAGAAATAAGGCGGAGTCAACATTTCATGAAATATGAGTGCTCATGCTAAAAAGCATTTGATATATCATTATCAATCTTTACACAAAGCAGCGGAATATCAAATTATGATTCAGCACAGCAGATTAGCTTTTGAAATTCAATTTAAGTATCACCTTACTATTATATATACCTGTATATATAGTTTAAATGTTAATTTGAAAATTATTTTGAATTATGATGCTACATAACAAGGGAATAATTGCTATTATGCACTCATGATTAGAGATCTAATTGATCATATTGTCATATATAAATTTATAATTTATTTTATTATTCTTGATTACATGTAAATTTCCATCATGTAGGATAAACCATCAGACTATATATGTAAATTAGAGGAAACAAAGTTCAAGTTATTAAATCAAACTTTGGGGAAAAAGTTATTTGTGTTCCCCTTAGCTATTTTTTTAATATATTGCAAACTCATGAGGAAAAGGGGTTTAGAATAATATGGACTATTTTATCTACATTGTCTAAATAACTGTACCAAGCTGTTTAAAATGTAGCTTAATCTCAATTCATTCTTGCTTGATAACAAACAGAAAATGAAACTATAAAAGTCAAAATTTCACTAACACAACTTAATTTCTTAAATTTGAAAAACTATTTGAAAATCTATTCTAAAACAAGCCTTCTACAAATAACATATTTTTTCTTACTTCCCTTGCTATTTATCCTCTTGTGCATGAAGTACAAATCAGCAGTAGTATGTTAATGTTTTGTTTTATTTTTCTTAACAGCTTCTCTCTGAAACTTTATCATTTAAAATTGAATTCCTAAAAGGACACTACTAAATATTCAGGGATTTTATCCTAAATCCTAAAACCCAGAGGGAGCTAGCGACTGCTCAACTAGAAAGATGCACAGAATTCCAACACTCATTTGCAAATGTTCTTTCTATCTAATTTAATTTTGCAGCCTTCAGACTGGGAGATTTTACTATATGACATCAACAAGACACTTCAATCAAAATCAACTTGCCTGAGTGATACATGTTTCCCTGGATTGTTAAAAAGGTAAAATGAGACATTAACTCTCTTTTCACATTTCCTGTAATCTTCTCTTGATGCAGGGCAGAATACTTAAATTGCAAAAGGAACTGGCCTGAAATATCATTATCCCCAAATGTCAGTTTTCATTCCAGGACACTTGCTTACAAAGTAACCCCCCCCCCTTTTTTTTTTTCAGACAGAAACAGTCACTTGCTGCAGTGCAGACTGTCAGTTTAGTCACTTAGAACTTTCCATGCAGAAATTTAGTGCAGTCACAGGATCCAGCCACACTTACCTTAATTGAAATATTCTCTGTGAACGAGGTGAGAACTCAGTCAAATCAACCGTGAATGGGGTGGGGAGATCGAAGTTTTCAGTCAAAGCCCTCCAAGTAGCTGCATGCTGTGCTTCTCTTCCTGTTTATGTGGAGACCCTCACTGTCTAGAAGGACAAAAAGAGAAGCTGAAATCCTCAGAGGTTCCAGTGAGTAAATGAGGACTAAGCGATGTTTCTCAACGGGAGCTGCGCCGTGAGCATGCTGCTATGATAGGCTCCAGTCAGGACGCTGGATCCTGGCGATAATCATTGACCTGATTAGCAGGGAACATTCCCTGAGCGTGGACACCGCACGCAGAGGGTTGGTGCGTCTCCTGAGAATGGAAAAGGCCCCGAGTCCACTCGGTTATCTTGTCTTTGCCAGCCTAATGGATGAACTACAACACTCTCTATAATTTGCAGGAGATTAGCGTTAAGTCAGAAGGACTTAAACAAATGAGATTTCTGCTGTTTTGCAAGGTGCATTGGCGTTAGATATCAGGTACAGTGAAACAATTAATAGATGGATGCAGCTGGTTTTTTTAAGACAAGACTACAGCTGAAAGCTGTTTAAAGCAATGTTATCAGAGAGAGGTCCCTCCCTTTTGCCCCCAGCCTGGCACAAACTTCAGCCCTTGTCTAAGTAAAATGTACTTAAAGGTTCATCACAGCCCTCCAGAGTGTAACTCTCTGATATGCAAAAAGGGAAGTACTGTATGAATACACCTGGCAGGTTTTTTAAAGGCACAAATGCTGAAACTGAGGCAAAAGAAAGCAGCTTGGGAAGACTTTCAATTAGCATCTTAAATTGACATCACACTTGCAGAAATATTTGCACCATAGCATTAACCTGAGGAACACAGGCTGAAGAACATCATACCCAATGGAAGCATCTCTTGTGTGATCTGTTCAATTCTGATTTTCTAACCTTCAAATAAGCAAGGGTATGAGAGGATGCTGGACAACTTTTTAAATGTAGGTAATCACTTGGCGTGGACAATCTGCAGCTCCTGTCTACTGCCCACCTGGGGAAACCCCACTTCCCCAGAGATGCTCCCAAAAAGTCAAGGGGCTAAACACCAAAGTCCCAAATGGTTAATTCTCGACAGCTCTCATTTGTAGAGGAGAAAATGGTGCAAATAACATAAAAAGAACAGATGAAAAAAGTCATTTGCATGTCTTGAGGGTGAGAAAAATCTCATTGCCAGAGAGGAAACTGACAAATGTCCTCTCACAATAACACCCTGTGATATGTTCAGCATTTCTGTTTTTCCAAGTAGATCTCACTTGGGACATATGGCATTCCCTTGACACATTCGTGTGGGGGGAGGGTGGATTAAATTTGCATTGTAATATTTACAAATATCTCAGAAAAACCCCAGATTTCCATAAAGGGATGCATAAAAAATACATAAAAGAGAATTTGTTTGCCTTGTAGATCCCTGAGTTACTTTCTGCACATATTTTATTAAAATGCAGTTATTTGCGGGCACTTCTTAAATAAGGCAGCACTTCATGGTTACTAAGTTGTTGCAAGAGGGCAGATACTCGAACTTAAAACCGAGATGCACCTGTGAGGATCCTGGATAAGAGCTAGCAGGCGGCCTGAGTAGAGGAGGTCTCAGTCTCTTGCTCCCTCCCCTGGTGGAGGGTGAGAGGTGAAGGTAAAGAAACTAGAGGATACACTTCAGGAGGGGGTGAGTAACTTCTGCTGCTGTTAAGCAGGGAGCCCATTATTCAACTATAAACAGGCATTAAGAGTTTTCTAGCAGAAAAGACACTGCTTAAGTAGAAATTCATACACATAAATAAACAGTACACTGGAGATATAATGTCAATTTCATTAGCAAGGGTCCTCACCGGTTAGCATAACACTGGCCAGAAAAAAGCTGATGGATCCCATCCCATGTTTCTGAAGTGTGGTAGGTCATGATGTTAAAGCAATGTTACAGTGCTGGTCTAGTCCACAGAATGAGAAGCTCAACTTTTATTATTTATTTATTTTGAGCAAACATTAAAATGCTTTCTTGAAATACCCTGCAAGAAACATGGATATGACCTCTGGGCTGAGAAGCTCAACTTAAACAGTGAACTCTTTATTACACTTCTTCAGACCTTAAGACACAGTATACTTTCTTGAGTTCCCAACTGCCAGCAATTAAACCAAAGTAAACCAAAGGCGCTTTAATATGACTTTACTCTATAACGGTTTATGTCCACCTTGCAAGCCGCAACTGCATGAGATTGCATTGAACAGTTTTATGTGACTAGTCCGAGATCTCTGGCTATAAACATCTACATAGAATACCAGTGACTCTGCAGTACTTTTAAAATATATGTTGGAAAACATGTATTTTAGTTGGAAGTACACTCATGAGTTACAAAAGGAGCACAATGCTATTCAGTGGGGAATGCCCAGAGAATTCATTTGTGACAAATATAAGAACTATATATCCAATACTTGCTATGTGTCTGATGCTTCAGATACACTTCAGGTATAGCCAATTCCTACAAAAGCATTGGAACAATCCTATATATTATCTTTGTGAAAAAATAATTACTTTGGCCCTCCCTGGTGGCGCAGCTTCTCACAGCACTGAGAAGCTAAAGCCACTTCAGCATGAGTTCGATTCCCGCCTGCCCTGGAGGTGACCACATGGCGCAGCAGACCTCTCCTGACCGCCCGCTGCTCCCCTCAGCAGTGGACTTCATCGATCTGCCTGTTCTGCTCCCCACTCTGTCTCTGGTGAAGCCTCTCACCCTCCGCATCTCTGGCCTGTACCCCAGTTCTGTATGAATAAATAAATAAATCTTAAAAAAATAATTACTTATGTTAACAATTTGAGGTCAGTAAATAAATCAAATGTGCACAGCCAGGACAGTGCAAACCCAGATTAAAATAAGTCACTTTAGGTTGAACATCTAGTAGATGCTTAGAAATTCTAAAGTGTTTAAGCCAACAAAATGTCTCCTTCCAATAGCACATTAACATTGTCTTGCTTTTATGACTTCCATGACACATTTTTGTATCCTTAAGAAATGTGTCCCGTGCCTGATAAAATGTTATTGTGTTAAAGTTTAATCACAATAGCTCTGGATATTTTAGCAGAAACATTAAATTCAACCAAAGTAAAGTTTAGCCTAAAAACAATCTAGAATTTCCAAAAGACATTTTATTAGACAATGTAATTGATTTCAAGTTTTAAAAAGAGATTTTACAGGCCCTCCCTGGTGGTGCAGAGGGTTAAAGCACAACACTAAGAAGCTAAAGCCACTTTCACATGAGTTCAATTCCCGCCTGCCCCACAGGTGATGCACAGGGCGCGGCAGACCTCTCCTGACCTGCCCGCTGTTCCCCTCAGCAGTGTACTTCATCAATATGCCTGAACTGCTTCCCATTCTGTCTCTGGTGAAGCCTCTCACCGCCCCTGAGCCTCTGGCCTGTACCCCAGTTCTGTATGCACAAATAAATAAATCTTAAAAAAAAAGAAAGAAAAACAGATTTTACAATTAATACCCTTTTTCTTAAAAATATAATTTATGAAACAGAAAAATGGCATTCTAGTACAGAGCCACCAGAAGAACATTTACTAACAAAGTACTAGGCTATTTTAAAATGATTTCCTATATCTCAGTTCTGTAAGTAAAATAATATAATAGGAAAGTTTAAAAGAATTATGGAGCTGAAAATTTCATTTCTCACTTGTTCACACTTTATCTCAAAGTTTCTTCAATTTCACATGAATCCTACCATTTTATATGGTTTGCTAAAATTCTCAGACACATTCACAATCTTTCAGAGAAATGTGGCCACACGTTTTCAAGGCTTCTAATAAAATTCAATCAAAAAAGAAATGATGCTGACTCGAATTAATTCAGCTCTTAAGCGTTGGCAAGAAATCCCCCACTCATTATCTTATTTTTACAGGAATCTCATGAAATAGTTTACAATAAGTGTTTTACTTATATTTAATGATGGGAAAGTAGGAATTCAAAGAACAAGCGATTATTCCTGAATCTTTGATAGTGGGAAACATGAAATTTACCCAGACAAAGCTTAGAGCTCCCAGCAGTTCTAACAAATATATTTGTCTATGGCACATGGTTGTCAAAAAGGATTCTAAGTGAAAAATAAATAAATAACTCATTCCTCATTTACCTGGCTCTCCCTAAAGCGTGTTCTGATGACATGGAAGAACCCTTACTCTGAATTAGGCTAAGTTCGAACAGACCTTTGTTGATCTTGACAATTATTATGTTAAGCAATTGTGAAGATGCTGCTCTGATATGAATGTCATCTTTTATTTGACACCCCCATTCAAAGAATACCTTTCTACTTTTTATTTTTGTGTGTGTGGTGATTGAATTATCAGGGGTAAATAAATCTCAGAATATTACTGTTAATTGTTTTAAATTTAAAAAAGTAAACAGGGATAACAAAGAAACGACAAATTGATCTTTCTGAAGTAGCATGGAGCCAATACTAACACCCACATGTTTGCCGAATGTTAATAGGGTCTTGTGTTTTGTACATACTTCGGCTTATGCATATGTCATGGAGAATAAGTAATTGAATTATCATTTTTCAACATAACTACACATTTGGGGAGGCCAGTTTTGCTCATGTATAATCACTAATTTGAGATACTGTGGTTTTCTGTGTATAAAAAAGGCTTAAAAAAAGGAAAACCTGGAATGTAGTTAATCTGGCACTAAATAGTTTTTAAACTTGAGCCATTTAAAAAGATCCTATTTTACAATTTCATTAGAAAATATGAAGAAATTAGATTGAATTAACTCCAAGATCCCATATGAAATTCTGCTATAAAATTATATTTTCTATTTCATTATTTATTTGTGATATCCTTTCTACTTAATTCAGGAATAGTTCAGGAAGTCAAGAAATAATGATTGTACATGAATGTACTTCTTCTCCCTTTCTTATCATAAAAATCCCAACAGTTTTCTTTTATTCTATCAATTGCATTTTGATAACAGTATTTTTTTTCATAATTCAAGTAATTTAAGAATCATTTGGACATGAATGATTTGAAATTATACATGTTATAGATGAAAAATTGGCTAACATCAATATGTATTTTTATTTTTTAAAGTTAACTAGAATG